GAGGGACATGCCCCGGGGGATGAGTGTGAGCAGGGTTCCCGCCTGCGCTAATCGCTCCGTGGCCGAGAGGAGGGAGAGCCCTGAGTGGAGCGGGAGGGTCCTCCTGCCGGGCGCCCACACCACCCGAGCATGGCTCCCCTGGGCACCGGTGTAAGGCATGCGGGTGGGAACTGATCTCGGGGCCCCACTGTGCCCCCAAGTCCTCGCGTAGCGCTTGGGGCAAAGTCACTACGAGAGAACACGTCCTTCCCTTCCCGAGTGGGGCCCACTCCCCGGAGGGCATCAGCGGAGAGCAGGTCCAGCTCCGGATGCGGGGCGCCCAGGCCACCCTCCCCGCCGCGCGCCCGGCATCCTCTGGACACGGCGGGAGGCGGGACGCCACCTCTCCCAGACACCCCGCCCCCTAATCGGGGCCGCGGGCGCACCCCGGAGGCAGAGGGGGGCCCCCAGCCGCCTAACTCCGCCCGAGGCTGCGGCTCGCCGGGGCCTGACGGGCGCCCCGCGAAGGGGCCGGGCTCGGCGCGCAGCACGGCCCCCGAGACGCGCCCCAGTCTGGGTCCCGCGCGGCCCTCCGGCCGGAAGCAGCAGCCCGCGGGCCGGAAGCTGCGGCCGCGGCTCAGCCCCCGCCTCGCGCCCGCTCCGCCCCCGCCTCACGCGGCCTGAGGCCGCGAGGCGCGTGAGGGCTCGCGAGCGACCGCCGCGTCCCCGGGGGACCCTGCCCGGGCGGACGGCCCGCCAGCTGGGCGAAACCCCGCGTCGCCGGGAGCTTACTTACGAGAGCTAAGGCCGCCGTCGCCATCTTGCGCCCGTCGCGGCCGCTGCGCGCGCCGCCCGCTCCAGCTCCCTGCGCGGTCTCGCGCGATGTAGGGGTTGGTGGAGGCCTTCGAGGAAAGACGGAACTATCGCGATAACAGGTCCTCACGCCAGTGACGTGGAAGGAGAAAGGCTCGCGCTTCCGGGGCGGGCGGAGCCTATGGAAGGGGCGGGCCCGGGGCGGGCGCTGGCGTCGCGGGCGCGCGCGCGGCGGGCAGGGGCCGCCTCCTCTGTCCGCGGAGCCCCGCTGCTCCCCGCCCGGCCTCCTTTACGGAAACACCTGGTGCCTTCCGCCCGCTCGCACCCAAGACCGGGCCGGACGCCGGGCTCCCGCCGGGGCTGCAGGAGTTCGCCCAAACCGACGACTGCGGCAACGAAATCGCCCTGTTCCGCAGTCAAGTTTTGAGATGCTTCGTTGCATCCTAACGTCTCTGAAGTCAGCGCGCGCCATCCAATGGAGGTGCGTCCGTATGTAATGGGCGACGTTTGCTCTTTCCTAGTGACGCATAAGCCAGGGTGCATCGTTTTATTTTAAAAAAATAAATTTCTGTTGATTTTTAGAGAGGAAAAGAGACAGAAACGTCAATGATGAGAAGCACTGATCGGCTGCCTCCTGCACGCCCCCCACTGGGGATGGAGGCTGCAACCAGGCCTGTGCCCTGACCGGGAATCGAGCCATGTCCTCCTGAGTCACAGGTCACTGCTCAACCCCTGAGCCAGGCCGGCCTGCTCAGAATGCATCTTAAAGCGATGGCATGTTGTAAGCTCAGTGATGTGCAGCCCAGCCCCACTCCCCCCACCCCAGGGCGTGCACCCCCATTCCTTAGTCCCTGTGCTGATTGTTAAAGGCCCACGGCGCCCCTCTCTGGCGTGCAGCTGCAGGGCCTTTTGCCTCTTGCAGCTCCCAGTACCAAGACTCCAACCCGGAAGAAGCCACGTCTGTGAGACCAGCAACTCCAGCCTCCCTGACACAGCAGCTTCCTCCTCAACTAGGCAGGTCCCTTCCCAGCCCTGGGAGAGTTCAGCGTGAAGCAGCTAAACATGACGGAACAGGTCCCTCCTCTTTCTCCCCGAGGGGACGATGCGGACGGTGGGGGAAGGATTCCTCGGAGGCAGGAGCCCTTGAGGACAGGCACGTGGGACCCCGTGGAGCTGGAGGTGGTTTGGTGGTGCCAGGGGGTCCCGTGTGACAGTGCAGGTGGTGAAGGAGGAGGCCCAGGCCCAGGCCCAGCCCTCGGCGGCAGCAGAGGAGCTCGGGGCAGGCCCTGCTGTGCAGCGGGGAGTGAGGGTGCTCCTGCCCTGTCCCCTGTGCCACTAGGACCCTCAGAGAGGAGAGTTGCTCCGTATCAGCTCCCAGCTCTGGAGGACAGATTGACAGCCGGGGGTGGGGGTGGGGTGTTCAGGGGAGTGACCTGGCTACTTGTGTGGTCTCAGCTCCCCAGGCAGCGAGCCCCACAGCTAAGAATGCCTCACCCCAGGGTCACCAACACCTGAGGGAGAGGAAGGAGACAAAGGAGAAGGGACTCAGAAGGAACAGAGACAATAAAGCAAGAAGAAGAAAAGCTAAGATTACACCCTCAGAGATACTGGAGAGGGTGTTGCATCCAAAAACAGGGAGAGGCTATAAAGAAAGGATGTTCACCGAGTGAGAAAGGCGCTGACAAAGGAAACGTGCGTTGGAAAGCGAGCAATCCCATGGCGGGGGTGGGAGATAAAGCCCAGCCCGGCCTGGGCACCAGGAGGTCACGGTTCGGTTCCGGGTCAGGGCACACGCCCCAGTTGTGGGCTCCATCCCCAGTGTGGGGCGAGTAGAGGGCAGCCGGTCCATGGTTCTCTCCCATCATTGGTGTTTCTCTCCCCCCCCCCCCAAAATCAATAGAAATATGTTTAAAAGAAAGAAAGGTAAAGCTGAAATCTTCCAGAATGTATAACAACAAACTAAGCAGCTGGAAGACAGAAAATGCAGTCATTACCATGCTGGTCAGTGCTGTCCAGAGCTTACACCAGGCCAGGCCCCTCAGGCCTCCATCACGGGGGGTGGGGGGCCGGACGGGGTCGGGAGCCACAGGCACCCGCACTCTGATGGCAGCTCCCCTGTGAAATGGTATGTCATGCAGCCCTGCAGAGGGCTGGTGGCCGTGCAGTTCTCACGGCTCACCTCACCTCGCGTGACCTGGCGGCAGCCTGGAGTGGGCGCCGTTAGCCCCGTGCTCACAGAGGAGGCGGCGGGGGAAGCACAGACCAACGTCTGGAGCAGGAAGCGGCGGAACAGCCCCTGGACCCCTGGCCACCAGCTCCCGTGCCTCTCAAAAGACAAGCCCAACATCCAAGTGGCAAGAGTTCCAGAAACTAGGGAGAGGGGAGAAATGAACAAACATGTAAAAAATCTCTCTGGAATCCAAGGTTGGGATCTGTGGACACTAGATGGAAGAAGGCAACATCCAGACATGTCGCTGAGAATTCCCTAAGCACTGGGACTAAGGGAAGATGGAGAGAGGAGAGAGAATGAGCACAGGGTCAGCATTCAGGAAGGCACCGAGTTCGTGGGGCCAAAACATATCGTGTTTCCCCGAAAATAAGACATCCTCCGAAAATAAGACCTACTTACAGGTTTCCTTCTGAGTGAAATATAAGGCATCCCCCCGAAAATAAGGCCCCCCTAGGCTAAACATGAGAGATTTGGTCCACTGATTCTGAAAGAAATGGAGTCACAAGAAATTCACCAGGAAATTCGGGAATTGGGTTGTTATGATGATGTTCCAGAAGATGATGACATGATTGTCATTGAATAAATGAGTAAATTCTTAATACTGTAGGATTCACAGTTTGTCTGGTTTGTGTTGACAACTACCGTACTACCGTACCGTATACAGGTAATAAGTTTCATTTATTTTCATTTAACAATAAACGTGTACCATATTCTTCTTCATGGAAAAATAAGACATCCCCTGAAAATAAGACCTAGCGCATCTTTGGGAGCAAAAATTAATATAAGACACTGTCTTATTTTCGGGGAAACCGACCCCTTCCGTGTCTTGGGAAGAATGGCTCTCAGCCTCGCCCAGCTGTTGTGCTGGCCACACTGACGAGCAGTTGTGAGTCCTGGAAGAAAGCCAGGCAAAGGCCCTCCACTTCCCAGGCACCCGCTCAGGAGACCAGGATGTTCTCCCTCTAACAGGGCAAACAGACAGGGTCCGAGAGAGCCTGGGATCCAGAGGCCGGTGTGTGCCAGGAGCCCTGGAGGGAGCCCGTCCTGCTGGCAACTGTGCCGGCTCGCCCGCCCGCCACCCGCCACCGCGGACCGGCAGCCTGGGGCAGCGTGGGCAGGCCGGGCTCCAGGGCGAGGGGAGACCCGGGAGGCTCTTAGGCACGGGGTCCCCCAAATGAGGGGAGCCCGCCCCGCTGCAGGAGGCTGTGAGGGTGCGTTGAGACATGCACGGAGACCGGGCACACAAGCCGAGGGAGGCAATTATTAACTCCAGGGAACGGGGTTGTGCAAGAAGGCAAATAGGACCCGGACACCACGTTCCCTGCCAAGACCTGCGGCGAGGAAGCCGTGAGAATGCGCTTCACCAGGGGTGGCACTGGGTCAGGGATCAAGGCCAGTGCCCCCCCAGGGGACACCTATTGTAAACACACACACAAAAGCAGTGCAAGGCCCTGTGGTGTGCGGGACGTGGGTCTAAGAGCGAACTGGAAAGGATCAGGGCGGAGACCACGTTCGTTGTCTGTTTATTATTGGCCTAAAAAACCATTGCACTTTCTAAAATAAGATGCATAGAACTTCGATAAACGTTAACGTGAGACCTCGGCACAGGCTCGATTAAACGAGGTTTAATCGCTGGCACAACCGGCTCCTCGATTGGCGCCAGGCTGTTTAAGAGGACGTGGGTCAGACAGCTAGCATCAGGGTTCCCGCCGAGGCGTGTGAATTAGTCTAGGTCCGTAACTCTAGGGTGAAAGGTGTGAGAATTCACGTAATCTCAGAGAGAGGGACACGCTGATAGCGTGAGAGCCTTGGTTGGTTTTGTCTTGGGCTTTGGTTCGGGCAATGTGGTCGGAGGAACAATGGCTCTCCCCCTCCCCCCGAACCCCGGACCCTGCGGATGCACCCCCCACGGCAGAAGGACCCGGAGGTGGGGAGACCACCCTGGACGATCGGCAGGAAGCCCGGGCCCGCTGTCGCCGGCCTTGAAGGTGGAGGCTGGGGCCAGGAGCCCGCCAGGTGCAGCCTCTGGAAGCTGAGAACGGCCTGCAGTTTGCAGCCAGCCCAACGCGGGGCCTGGCCGGCCGCTGCTAGGACACCAATTCCTGCCCAGCGCCCAGCGCCGCGCCATGCCTGGCCCCACAAGCCAAACCTCAACCTGAGGGGAGAGGAACCGGGTTCTCCCCTGGACCTCCGGGAAGACGTGGGCTGGCAGGCGAGGCCTGGGCCAGACGCCCGACAGACAGGAGCGTAACAGCTGGGCTGGGCTGCGGCACGGCGGCAGGTGATTCTGTAGCAGCGACAGGCACCTGGCCGGTGGGCGCTTCCTCGGTTTGGCATTTGAAATCTTAAAAGGAACCCTGAATGCACTACGTGTACGCATGCAGTTCACACGTCGGCGGGTTTACATCTGAAAACGGGGGGTGGCTCAGGAGAGGTAAGTCCAGGGCAATGGGGGGGTGGTCATGGGCAGGGCGGGTGGGGAGGTGGGGGGTGAGTTTGGAGTGAGGAGCAGGGAGGAGTCTGGCTGACCCCTCCAGGCCAGGGCGGTGGGAGAGGAAAGAGCCCTTTGGGGCTACAGGGGCCAGAGTGTCGGCTGAGGGGGCTGTGGGCACAGCCTCAGAGGGTTCCGGAGCGTCTGTGCCGGACGCGGGATGGGGCGGAGAACCACGTGGTGTGGGAACTGGGTGTCTCTCCCGGCTGCTTCTCAGCACCCCACGCCCTGCACCCCGCCCGGTGCTGCAGGTGCTGGGCGCTGAGTGGAGGTGGGAGCTCCTGTGTGGGCCTGTGTGTGGCGCCCCCACCACTGTGACCCCCTGAAGGGCACCCTTGCCACTGACCCACAGCTTGGAGGTGGGGGTGAGACTTCTGGCCAGCAAATGGGGGACATGGGAAGGAATGGGAAGCCGGGGAGGCGGGTGGGATGAGAGAATCCTGGTTCTAGGAATGGGCGTGGCCTCATCACGACCCCCCACCCCACTGGTGAGCTCCCCCTCGCCCTCACCCATCCCCACGCCCAGGGTCTCTCGGCAGCTGCTGGCGGAGCAGGGCCCTCGAGCAGGCCTGTCCTCAGCCCTGGCACAGGCCTGGCACCCCATGCCCGTCACTGGGCTCCGCGGTACTTGAGGAAGGTGCTCTCCAGGAAGGCGGCCAGCTTGGTCCGGTCGTCCTGCAGGTGGGAGGTCGGCGTAGGTACCCGCCCCCCCCTCCCCTCCCCGCCTGGCCGAGCGGTCGTACCTCGTGCAGGAAGCCATAGTGCACCAGCTCTGTGGCGAGGTCCTGGGCGCTGTCCGCTGTGCAGGGCGCGGGCGGGACGAGGGGACGAGGGGACGAGGCGTAAGGTCAGGAGCTCAGGGAAAGCCAGGCGGGGCGGTGGCTGCTCACAGCGGGGCAGGGGGGTGGGGGTGGGGGCGGGGGCGGGGCTGGGAGGGCGCATGTCCACTCACTTGGGAGCAGGTCGTAGGTGAGCTGCCGGTGCAGCCGGTCCTCCAGCACGAGCAGCAGCGTGAGCTGGGGGGCGGGAGGCAAGGTCTGGCTCTGGGTGGGCTCTGCCCCCGCCCAGCCCTGCCCGCCCCCGCCCCGCCCCCGCCCCGCCCCCGCCCCGCCCCCGCCCCGCTCACATGCCAGCGGGCCTTGTCCTCGCTCCTCTCCAGGTTGCACTGCATCTGGATCACCTGCGGGCGCGGGGCCCAAGGTCACCCACGAAGGCTCAGACTCAGCACCTGCGAGGCACCTCACGGGGCCCAGGGGGAGAGCCGGGAGGGGCTGGCGGACGGAGCGGGCACCGACAGGTGCAGGGGCAGCTGAGCAAAGGGCGGGAGGCAGAGGCCGAGCACAGGGCCCAGGCCCCGCCGAGGGCCCCACGGTCTGTGGGCAGCCTGGCTGTTGGGACATGATTCTGGCTGCGGTGTGGAGGGGAGCCAAGAGCAAGGAGGCAGCAGGGAGGGGGGCTGAGGGGGGCGTCCCGGCAGGGAATGGAGGTGCCGAGAGCAGGGCAGTGACCGTGGACACACCCACAAGGGCAAAGCGAGGGCCTCCAGACCCGGAGGGTATGGGCATGGGAACAGGAGGGGCCGGGGAAACACGGTGGGGGTGCTGGCAGAGGGGGTTACACCAGGTCACGGACGCCGGGGAGTCGGCCAGCCAAGGGGGTGGCATCAGAGGGGTGAGGGCAGCGGAGAGTCCCCGACAAGGCTCTGGAGCAGGTGGGAGCGGGGGCGACTCCTAGGGCTCAGGCAGCAGGGGGCGGAGGGGGTGTCGGTAGGGGCAAGGAGGCTCCGGGAGAGGAGGTCCCCCAGCGTCGCTCAGCCAATCAGCTGCACAGAGGGGCCGGGCCCACCTTTCTGGTCTCCGAGTCGAAGGGCTCCGGCGTGGGGGTCTTGGCCTTCTGGGCCTCCTCCGGGGGCGGGGCCAGCACGCGGGGCAGCCCCAGGGGCCGTGTGGCCGCGAAGTTCATCAGGGGGTAGATCCCGTTTCTGGGGACACAGCGGGTGACTAGGGGCTCAGGCCCCGCAGCCGCCTGCTCCCCCCTCCCGCCAGCTCTCACCTGACGTCCTCCAGGAACTTGTCCAGCTCCATGCAGGAGACCTCGGAGTACCTGCCCGGGAGAGGCACATGAGGCACCGGCCGGCCGGCCGGCCTCGCCGGGGGCAGGACCGAGTGGGGGCGGCCGCTCACCGCCACTGCACGGGGGGCCGGCCCGGCCGGCAGATCTCCGCCAGCACCGCGTGCATGTCCATCGACTTGGTCTTCTCCTCCACCACGTTCTCAGGCATGAGGTCTGCAGGCCGAGGAGCACTCAGGGGCGAGGCCTGGGCCACCGTCCAGCAGGCCCTCCTCATCCCAGCCCCAGGCTCTGACCCCCCCCGCCCCCCGCCGCCCTCACACTGGTGCTGGATGAAGCAGTGAGCGGCCAGCAGCTTCAGCGAGTGCACCTCGAAGAGCACACGGTGGAAGAGGAGGTTGTGGGCAGAGGGCCTGTGGGCGGGGTCCCGCGCCAGGCAGGAGAGGATGAACTCCTGGGGGCAGGGAGAGAAGAGGCCTCGGTTCATGGGGTTTCTCTGCTCTGCCCCCCCGCCCCCCGGTGTGAGGGGAGGGGACCCTGGTCCCTAGACCGCAAGGTCCAGCGCCAGGCACCTGCATGATGTGTGCAGGGAGCGGCTCCTGCTAGCAGCCAGGCCCTGAGCCTGCACACAGGACAGCCAGGCCCCTCCGGACCCCTCAGTCCTCACAAAAACTTGGTGCAGTGTGCGGTAAGGGGCCGGGAGCACGGCTATCCCCATTCACGTCACACACACACACACACACACACACACCCCGCAGGTCATGTGGCCTTGCATGAACCCACCCGCCACGGCCAGCCCGCCTTCTGGAGATGACCTTGACCGGTCCCCGGCCCCGCCTTGCACTGCCTGCCTCTCTTGTCTGTCCAGGCTCCACCTCCCCACCAGCCCCATCCAGGCCCCATCACTTCCCTCTCCATCGCCAGAGGCCTGTGCTGAAGCCAGAGGTTTCCCAGACTCTGGCGGAGAGGCTGTGGGGGAAGCTCCCTCCCGAACTCCGCCTGCCACCCCGCGGCCCCCCGCGGCCCCCCCGCGGCCCCCCGCTGCCCCCCGAGGCCCACCCCACGGCCCCCTGCGGCCCCCCCGCGGCCCCCCGAGTTCCACCCCACGGCCCCCCGAGGCCCCCCCCCCCCCCCCGCGGCCCACGGGAAGGCAAGAGGCAGACCAGGTGCCAACACTGTTCTCCTCACTCTGGAGCCTCTCTGAGCCTGTTTCTTTATCTATAAAATGGGCATCACAACAGTACTCACCCACTCCGCCAGGTTTCCCTGACCCTACCATGTGCCCTTAAAAATTAAAAAGAGTCCAGCCCGGTCCGGCCATCCTGGCTCAGTGGCTGAGCCCCGGACCTAGGAACCAGGAGGTAACAGTTCAAGGTTCAATCCCGGGTCAGGGCACGTGCTGGGTCGTGGGCTTGACCCCCAATGGGGGGCACGCAGGAAGCAGCTGGTCTGTGATTCTCTCTGTGGACGTTTCTCTCTCTCTCTCCCTTCCTCTCTGAAATCAATAAAGGCATATTTTTAAAAAGAAAAGAAAAAAAGATATGCCCTCAGCTCGTTCAGGCCTGGAACTCCACACCAGGCAGGGAAGGCCCCCGGGGGGTGGCCGGGGGGCAGCACTGACCCTGCACCCCCAAACCAGGCCCCAGGCCACTCACCCGCATGTTGGGATCGCTCAGCGAGTGCCGGGCCCGCGCGATGGCCTCCTCGGTGACACGCGTGTCCCCGTTGGCCTGGATCTCCAGCACTGCCATCTGCGGGCAGGGCGGTCAGTGGGCAGGGCGGGTCAGCGGGCAGGACCTGGGCCAGGGGCGGGCGAGGCCGGCGCCGGGCGGTACCTCCAGCGCGCACATCCCGAAGGAGAAGATGTCCACGGCGGTGCGGTCGGCCACCTCTGCGGGGGACGGGGGACAGGCGTCAGGCGGGCGGGGTGGGCGGCCGGGCGGCGGGGCGGAGCGGGACCCACCTCCGTACTCCGGCGGGAAGAAGTGCAGGTTCCGCAGCTCCTCCCGCTCCGCGCGGATGGGGCTCCGCAGGTCGTCGGGCAGCGCTAGGGGGGGCGCGGAGGTGAGCGGGCCGGCCCTCCCCGCGGCCCTCCATCCCCGGGGGCCCCCACGCACCGTTGGAGAAGATGCGGTGCCAGACTGCGGGGCGGAGAAAGAGCGGTCAGCGGGCTGGGCGTCCCGGCCCGCCCCGCCCCGCCGCCCGCCCGCCCGCCGCCCCCGCCCGCACCGGAGCCGATCTTGATGAGGCCGTTGTGCTGGATGAAGATGGTGTCGCTCGTCAGGTTCCCGTGGATGATGGGGGGGCTGCAGGCGTGCAGGAAGCTGCGGGCGGGAGGCGGTCAGGGGCGGAGGGCGGGCAGGGGCGCGGGGCGGGCAGCGGGCAGCGGGCCTCACCTGAGCGCCGACAGGATCTGCGTGCACCAGCGCTTCCAGGCCTGGCGGCGGGGCGCGTCCGTGGGTGGGAAGGGCGGGGAGAGGTGGCTGGGCCTGGGCGCCCCCACCGCACCCCCTGCCCGGCTCCGCCCGTTCCCGCCCCGCCGCCCCCGCCCCGCCCCGCCCCGCCCCCATACCCGCGCGTTCATGGCCTTGTGGTTCTTCTTGGTCTTCTTGAGGAACTGCTTGAGGCTGCCCGAGGACACGTACTCCGTGATGAAGACCACCTGCAGCCCGCACGTTGGTATCGGCCCGCCAGCTGCGGGAGCCTGGGCGGTGCCCGGCCGCCGCCCGCCCCGCCCGCTCCCCGCTCCTCCCGCTCCCGCCCCGCTCACCCTGGCGCGGGCCTCGCAGGCGTCCAGCCAGTACTTGTGCAGCTTCACGATGTTGGGGTGGTCCACCAGCACCAGCTGCTCGAACATGGTCTGGATCTTCTCCTGGGCGCGGGGGGCGGTCACGGGGCGGCCACCAGGCGGGGGCGCGGGGGGGGGGGGGGGGGCGGTCACGGGGTGGTCACCAGGCGGGGGCGCGGGGGGCGGTCACGGGGCGTCCACCAGGTGGGGGCGCGGGGGGCGGTCACGGGGCGGCCACCAGGCGGGGGCGCGGGGGGCGGTCACGGGGTGGTCACCAGGCGGGGGCGCGGGGGGCGGTCACGGGGCGGCCACCAGGCGGGGGCGCGGGGGGCGGTCACGGGGCGTCCACCAGGTGGGGGCGCGGGGGGCGGTCACGGGGTGGTCACCAGGCGGGGGCCCGGGGGCGCGGGGGGCGGTCACCAGGCAGGGGCGCGGGGGCGCCACGGGCCTCACCTCGTGGGCAGAGAAGGCCTTCCTGTCGCTGAAGCGCAGCTCGTTCCACACCACCTCCACGCCCTCCTCCGTGTCCATGGCCAGGAAGGTGCTCTGGACGCCGGGCATGTTCCCCTGGTTCACCTGGGAGGGGGGAGGAGGAGGGGGGACAAGGGGGTCCGCTCACAGCCTCCCAGGCCCGGCGAGGGCAGGACGGGCCGCTCTGGGGCGGGGTGGCGGGCTGAGCGGTCGGAGCAGGTTCAGGCGCTGAGCATGTCCCCGGGGGGGCTGGCGCCTGGTCTCCGGGGCAGGGAGGTGGCTCCGCGGCTGGCCCTTGGGGAATGAGGGTTCCGCCCCGGGGCAGGGGCCAGGCCAAAGGGGTGCAGGAACCGGGTCGCCCCCTCGAGGCTGCGGAGAGGTTTCGGGTCTCCTGTCCCCGCCCCCGCGGTGCCCACCTGCTCGCGCCGCTTCTGCCAGCGGCCGCACGGGCTTTCTTCCAGGATGTCGCTCTCGTCCTCGCTCTCCTCCTCCCGCTCCCGCTCCCGGCCCCGCCTGGGCGCAGGCTCGGGAGCCGCCATGGCTCGGTGGGCCCAGGCAGCCGCCCGCCCGGCGATCCTCCGCCGCGCCCGCCGCCGGGCCCCGCGCGCGGAGCCGAGTTCGGAGTGGCGCCGCCGCTGCTCGGAGCCACGGCCCAGGCTCTGGGACCGGAGCGGCGCGGGCGCGCGACCCGGAGGGCGGAGCCCGCCCGCCGGCCGGAGCCGCCTCCTCGGACCGGATCCCGAGTGGAGCTCCCCGCGGAGGGCTGAGCCCGCGCAGCGCGAGCGGCCACAGCCCCGCCCCGGCGAGCCCCCGCCTGGAGCCACGCCCGGCCACAGGCCCCGCCCGCAGGAGGCTGCGCCCGGCCCGGCCCGGCCCGGCCCGGCCAGTCCTTTCCGGTGACGGCGGCCCGGCCCGGCAGCCCCGACCCTTGAGCCCCGCCCACGCGAAGCCACGCCCCACATTGGGTCCGTCCCACAAGGCCCCGCCCACAAAGGACAAGGCCCCGCCCCCGCGTAGGCCTCACGGATCTGCGTTTACGACCCTTCCCCGCGGCCCAGTCCCGGCCTGAAGCCCACCCTTAAGGCCCGGTCTCCACCCACCCGCTCCCGGTCCACCGGTCCACCGCGGGCTCAGCTCCGCCCCGCGATCCCACCGGGCGCCAAGCCCCGCCCCCAGGAGGTTCCGCCCCGCCCATCGTGGCCAATACCCCGCCCCCGGGCCGCCTCACCGCTCAGGCCCGCCCCTGCCAGGCCACACCCATCGCGTCGAGGCCCCGCCCCGGACACGCCCACCATATACCACGCCCCCATGTATCTCCGGAGGAGGTGGGGCGGAGCCACGTCCCTCCCGGCGTCCCAGGGCGCTGCAGCCGGCGGGCAGGGCGGACCGGGCTACGGGTCCACCCAGCCCAGCTCTTGGAGCCTCGCGTTCTCCCCTTTCCCGCTGCACTCCTGGCACAGACAGCCCGGAGCCCGTTGATGTCTGGGCTTCCCCCTGGGGTGGCCCCGGAGCGGGGCGGGGAGGGGGGTTTGGGGGGACCCAGGACTTGGGCACTCCCTGGCCGGGCAGGGGGCGAGGCCCCGCAGGTGGACCGCCAGGTGGGAGTGAGTGAGGCGGCGAAACAGGAACGGATGGGGGTGAATTAGCACACACAAGGCACACCGACTTCATAATGGAAAGATAAATGCTTTTAATAACAATCAGAAAACACAAAGCGATGCTGACACCTCAGGGTGGCAGGCTGAGGATCCAGGAAGAAGAAAAGAGTCCTTTGTTCCCAGCCAGGCAGAGCCTGTGGGGTGGCCACCTGCCAATATTCAGAGAAATGCAAACAGAACCACCAGGGAGAACACCGGGTCCATGGGGGTGAGCATGGCCGGGAACAGGCCTCACTCTGCCCAAAGGAAAAATACAGAGAACTCCAGGGCACTGGGAAGTAAACAATGTTACCAGAGGACTTAACACTGCGCTGCCCAGACACTGCGGCTCCGAGGACCAGGGGTGCCCGCACCATCCCAGCAGGGGACTCCCTGGAGGCAGCCCACCGATGTTTCTCTCTCACTGTCCCTCTCCTCTCTCTATAAAATAAAATATATACACATTTTAAAACTAAGTGAAACCTCATTAAAGAACATTTTGAAATCCTGAAAAATAGAGTAAGATATTTTGAGAGTTAACATTCCACCACATAAAGAGTCCATTCAGTCTTAAGACAGAGAGAGAAACAGCAGGCCC